GTCTCCAGCTCTCGCAGCTCAGCCCTTTGTGGGACCCGAGGCAGGGGGCAGGGATTAAAGCCATCTTTGGAAAGCGTTGGGTAGCTCCGACCTTTACATGAAGTGAGGGGGTGTCCCCCAACCCTGACTGGTGGGAGAGGTCAGGGGCCACATGATGCTCTCACAGGCAGAGCTGGGGTCTGGAGGGACCAGGCTCTGGACGGGAATTGTCGGGAGCCCGGAGCTGGCTCTTCCGGAGGCCACGGGCTACCTGTCCTCAGACAATAAATGCCAGGAAATTCAAGGGTAGGAGGCCGTTTGCTCACCTCGAAGCTAATCCTGTGTGGCAAGTCCAGTTCCACTTCCCTGCAGGACACTTATGACAGAGAGGATACTGAGTTCCCAGAAGGTCCCCTCCCCAGGTCACCTGGGTCCCTGACCAGCACCACCAGTTTGGGCATGGTGGGGAGCTTCCCATTCATCCCTTCCCTTGGATTTGGGGGTCCTGGGGACTAGGAGCCCACAGCTCTGTCCCCCATGGTTTGTTGGAAGCCACTTGTGCTAATCAGCTCAGGCTGCGGTGACTGGGTGGCTCAAGCAGCAACAATTTCCTCTTTCACAGCTCTGGGGGACGAAAGTCCAGGACAAGGTGTGGGCAGGGCTGGCTCCTCCTGAGGCCTCTCTCCTTGGCTTGTGGATGGCATCTTCTCCAAGTGTCCTCACCTAGTTGTCATGTGTACGTGTCTGTCCTGATCTCTTCCTGTGAAGACCCAACCCTATGGGATTAGGACCCACTCTGGTGACCTCATTTTAACTTAATTGACTCTTGAAAAATTTCATCTCCAAACACACAGTCACGTTCCCAGGTCCTGAGGGTTAGGACTTCAACAGATGAATTTCAGGGACACGCAATTCAACCAGTAACTCTCTGATAGGGGAGGAAGCCGTGCAGTCTGGCTAGGCAAACACGAACCAAGGGCCCAGGTGATCCTGGGAGAAGCCTGGGTTCTCCCTCCGAGCAGGGATCTGCTCAGGGTGTAGCGGTCTAGGCTTCTCCGGCTAGGCAGGCCCAGCCCAGACACCCCCAGCCTTATCAGTCACCTGCTCTAACCCCAGTCTTCCCTCCCCGCTCCTAGTTTAGCTTCCCCCTTTGGCCATCTCTGTGCGGGGGCTGAGGATTAGCAGAACTTCCTGGGACTGTGGGGCCACCCCGGGACCACGTGGGTCGTAATCAAGTCAGTCCCTGGTCTCCTCCAGGAGCAGGCATCTCTGAGCTAGTTCTGACTTTAGTTTTTGACTGTCGGCTGCTTTTTCAAAGGGGGAAAACTGTCACGTCAGAATTGTAGTAAACCACTATAGCTCCGTGTGGCCACTCTGCCAGGGCAGCTGAGCTTCTCAGAGGACCCAGGAACACCAACATTCTCCTCGCCCTGTGGCTCCTCTTTCTCTCTTCTGCCCAGTGGTATCCTGGAATCAGCTGGGAAGACCCACTTGCAGGGAATTTTGTGAGCTGATTGTTAGATACCACCATTACTAAAAATTAACTTCTATTTTGCGTTAATCCTCATTAATTACATTAATGCTCCACACTGGGTGCTGGAGGTTGTTCACCTCTATCACATGTACGTCACAGAAATACTGTAGAACCCTGTGCTTGTGCTGCGGCCTCTGTTCCTATCTACCGATGCTGGTGGCCTGACACTGGCCATGGTGGGACTATTACACCACGGACTCAGCAAACAGTACAAACAAAGGCGTGGTCCATTGCTTTGTGGATTCCGTGAAGCTGAGGTTGGCAAACTTTTCCCATGAGGGACTTGAGGGTATTTCCAGGCTTTGCGGCCTCAGTTGAAACTGCCCAATCCTGCTGCAAAACAGTCTTAGGGAATATGTAAATGAATGGGTGTGGCTGTGTTGCAATAAAACTTTATTAAAAAAAAAAAAACAGGGGGCTGGGATTGTGGCTCAGAGGTAGAGCGCTCGCCTAGCGTGCGTGAGGCACTGGGTTCGATCCTCAGCACCACATAAATATAAAATAAAGACATTGTGTCCACCTATAATTAAAAAATAACCAGATTTGTCCCGAGTGCTGCAGTTTGCCAGGCCTTGATCTAGACTTTAGCACATTTTGAACCTAAAAGTGTGACCACCGAACTTAAGCAGAGTTGGCCGCCATGTTGGGGCAGGAGGAAGCCAATCTTTTAGGCAGAAGGTGAGGAGAAGAGGTGGTGTCGTGGGACACCAGTAAATGAGGAAACTCTCCTCCAGTGTGGGAGAACTAGTGCCTGGTGAACAGAGAGGTCGCTCCGTCACTGACCAGTGAAGCTCCAGCAGGGCTTGTTTTCTGCATTTCACGTTCATCTTTTACATGTTCAGGAAAATGAAAGCATAAACCAACTTCATGGGATGGGACTGCTCTCATTTGCTGACCACATCCGTAGGTGGGCTGTGGATACCAGGGTTCAGGAAAAAAAAAATCAGCAAAGTCATTCTGTGAGAATCGGTCGTAGGGAATTGACAATAAGGAGTTTTGTGTATTGTGTTTTTATTTTTAGATTATGCCCTTTGCATCTTGATATCAGCGCAACTTAAGATAATTTGTATATGCATGAATACACACACACACATACACACACACACGTACATCACACATCACACATCTGCATTTTTCTGATGAGCCGGTTGTGAAACATGAAGCGTGCCATGGTCTGATCCATAAGTCTGCGACTCTGGTCCAGCCTGCTCTGCGGGACTATTAGGACATTCCTCCTCCTCTGTCCCCACCAGATTCCTGATACCACCTTTTCCCACCACCCACTTAAGTACCTCCCTAGCAGCTTCTGGCCCCAACCTGGCTGCCGAGATGTGAGCTCAAGGTCCTTCCACCACTGCCTGTTGCTCAAGCTCCCTTCCTTAGCCCTTTCCCAACCCTCCCCCTTGTGGTCTTCTCTCTAGCTGTTTCATTATCCCTCTTAGCCCAAGCACACCCCAGTAGTACAGAAGAAATATGTCACTTCATACCTTTAGAACTGCAGATCTAAACTCCGTGTGCAGGTCTGTCACTGTGTGGTCCCCAGGTTTCCTGTAAGGCCCATCCGGATGCAGAAGGGAAAGGGAATACTCCCCTCCCCACTCCCAGGAGCCTGGACCTGGGAGCCAGCCTCCTTCTCCTGCCCAGCCGATGGGAGGCCGCCCTGCCTGAGACTTGGCTGAAGTCCAGTCTCCTTCAGGGCAACTGTCCCCACATGTGGCACTAGTACTATTCCCATTCCCAGAATTCCTGCAAGGAGTCTTGAAAACCATAATGTGGTGAAAAACACATTCTGGCCTTATGATTGGAGTTTTCACACTTCTTTTGCTTTTTTTCAATTCTGGGAATTGAACCCAGGATCACTCTATCACTGAGCCTGAACTGGAAGCGGTGGCACACACAGTGGCTTGGGAGGCTGAGGCAGGAGGATTGCAAGTTCAAAGCCAGTCTTGGGAACATGGTGAGGCCCTGAGCAACTTAACTAGAACCTGTCTAAAATAAAAAGGGCTGGCGATCTGGCTCAGTGGTTAAGCGTCCTTGGGTTCAACCCCCTAATACCAATAAATGAATGAATGAATGAACGAATGAACAAAAAGGCTGGGGCTGGTGCTCAGTGGTCAAGTGTTCCTGCTCCAGTACCACCAAAATAAGATGACAGTCGCTGCTGCCCCCTGCTGAAGGTGACAGTAACTGCCCCTGGCAGCTGTTCCTGGTCTCCCCACAAAGGGCAGCAACAAGGACAGAGTGGATGGTTGTCTGGGTCACCTCTGTTCTGAGTGTCCTGCACCCAGCCAGGCCGAGGGAGTGGACGTCCCCCCTCCAGCCCCCATGCTGCCCCTCTGCTGGCCTGGCAGCGTGTGGAAAGCCTCGCCCAGGCACAGCATCTAGGGGAGTTTGGGCAACAGACTCAGGTGGAACTTAACCTCGTCCTTCGCTGGTCTCCAGCTTCCTGTCAGAAGGGCCCACATTCCTGACACTGAGTTCTCGACACATGGCCAGTTTCTGAACTAACCCTGTTGCTGGCGTCACTGATGGGACTGTTTCCGCAGACTGTTCTGTTCTCTGAGCCACTGGCCCCGCACGTGGGTACTTGTGTCCATTCCTGGGGTCAGAAACCATGTGCAGCACCAGTGTCTACACCACAGGCCGGGTCCTGGAACAACAGTCTTGCAGTAGCAGACACATGCTCATCTGGTTGTTCCCATACGGTCCCCTCTGTCATCGTCCCCACTCTGTGAGGAGAACACTGGCGCGTGGAAGCTAAATAACTTCCGCAGAAGGAGCAGAGTCATGACTTGGACCCATCCCAATGCATCAAAGTCCAAGCTCTTAATGGCCCTCTCTGCCATGTCAATGCCACCGGAAGCCACATGCGGCTTTTGGTTGTATCCCTGATCTATTTAAGCTGCTTTGTAAGGAGCTGGGCAGAGAACTTGGGGAAGGGACTTGGGCCTGATCCCAGCTGTGCTGCTATGGGGACGTGCTCCAGAAGGTTGAGCGGGGCATTGGCCTTGAGGTTGGGGGCTGTCTGGCTTTATGCTTTAGAGGGGATATGCTCACATCCCCCTTCTAGACCCTGAAATCAGCCTGCCCAGCACCTCACCACACCCAGGTATGCACCCTCTGTGTACCCAAGGGTATACCAAGGCTGGCTGGGGGCTGCCTGCTGATGGCATGCATGCACAGCCCGGACACACAGGCTGGATTGGCACCATGGTGCCTAGGCCCCTCTGGAAGGAGCCATGCATGTGGGAGCCAGCTCTCGCCCACCATGTCCTAGCATTCATCTCTTAGGAGGCCTGGAATGCTAGGTTAGAGCCAGGCTCCCTGAGCAACACCTGCCCCTTCTTATTTCCCAGGACACTATCTGCTCTAGGCCTGGGGGAGCGCTCTCCTCCCCAAAAGAGCCTCCCCAGGCATCTCTGCCCTTGCTGACGTCGCTGGGCGCCTGGCCTGACCTCCGGGCCTCCTCTTCCTTGTTATTCCTCAGCTGGGGTGTCCCGCTGACCATCACAGTGGCAGCTGTCTCCCTAAAGAAGATCGGCTATGATGCCTCCGACGTGTCTGTGGGCTGGTGCTGGATCGACCTGGAGGCCGAGGACCGCCTGCTGTGGATGCTCTTGACGGGGAAGCTGTGGGAGATGCTGGCTTACATCCTGCTGCCCCTGCTGTACCTCCTGGTCAGGAAGCACATCAACAGAGCGGTAGGTGCCCACTGTGACGGCCCTTGGGGGACAGAACTAGTTTGAGGCCAGAGGGACAACATGCTGGCCACGTATCCAGCCCGGGGCCACGCGCTCTGTTACAGGAGGGTAACAGGTGGTGTGTGCGTCTGGGCCCTGTCAGGAGCCTGTCCCATTGTTCCTCCTTCAGTAGGTGAGGAAGCAGAGCTAAGGGGCCTGCCGGAAAGTCTGGGGCTCCCAAGGATTGAGCTGAAATCAGCAGAAGGAGCCTGGAGCCCGTCCTCAGCCACAGCCCTCCACTGCCCCCGTGTGGACAGCCGTCCGAGGTTGCTTGCACTTAGGAATTTAGACACAAGTTGAGGATGTGTCCCAGTGGAACTGCCCGCCCCCCCCGCCCCCCCCGCCCCCCCCCCAGGGGAGGACGGCGGATTGCGTGATCAGTGATGCAAATAACCCGCCTCACCATCCTCAGAGATCAGGACAGTGTCCTAAGTGGTCGGCTTTGCAGGAATTTATAAATCAGTAGGGAGGACTGGCCAGAAAGGTGGTTTATAATGAGGATGAAAACATGGATCCTGCCTCCCTCCAGAGAGGAAGAAGCTTCAGTAATTAAGGTAAAAGGCAAATATGATGCGTGGCCAGAGCGGCAAGGTAGATTTCAAGAAATCCTCCCAGTTCAGGCCTCCTGCCTGGTGTTGGTGCTGGTGAGAGTCCGCGTCCTTCTGGCCTGGCTGTAGGAGGGAGTGTCCCGACCTTTAAGTCATTCTGGGATTGTTTGTTTGGTTTCTTTTTGTGTAAGTCTGGGTCCTGTATGGAATTGAACCCAGAGCCTCACACTTAGGTCACTGAGCCACACACACCCAGGTCACCCTGTTGACTAAGCAGCCACTTCTGAGTTGGGATGCTTCTTGCAGCTGTCTGTGACCTTGGGCCACCTAATTCTTCCCCTGTAGTCCCCATCTGTCTTCTCAAGACATCTGGTTCTCTTTTGGCTCTTTACACAGAAATGTAGCTGGCCGGCCCAGCTGTGCAGCCCTCTCTGGCTCTGCTGGAGTCCTTGCTGGAGGGGCAAGATCTAGCAGTGGCTCTGAAGTTGCTTTTGTCCTCCCGCACGCACGCCTGTGACTTGGTCCTCTCCATCCCCACCTTCTCTCTCCCACTCTCCTGGGAAGGCCCAGGGCTCCCAGTAGAGGTCCCCAGGCTCTGCCTTCTGGAGAAGCCCTTTTGTGTGTGTGTCCCGCTGACTCTCACCCTTTCTGCAGCAGAGCAGGAAGCCTGGGGACCCCGTGCCTGCCAGGCTGACTCCTGCGTGTGACAATGGGTTCTCTTTTTACAACTTGGCAAGTCTTTTCAAATAAAAAGGAATAAAGTGGGCAAGGAGGTGAGACTGCACACGTTGTTCCCTCCCTGGAGCTAGCAGGACAGCTAAAAATAAGTGAGCAGGGAGCAGCTCTGTTCTGAAGAGGAGCCAACCCACAGCCCGGTCTGGGCCCAGATCTCCAGCCCATGACCCCTCTGTCCTCCCATAGGAAGTTCGCCCAAACCTGCAGCTCCAAAGGGTAGGGCTGGAAGCTCTCTGGGCTGCCCCCAAGGCTGCAAGGGTCGAGGTGCTCTGCCCAGGTGAGCCCAGACACCTGGGTGCTCAGGGAGGCCCAGGTGTGCATTGCTCCCCGCACCTAGGCCTTTGGGGTCCCAGACAGGCTCGGCTGAGGCTCGGTGCATGTCTTTGGTCTGTGTTGGCTCACCTATTTTTACAAATTGGGTTTTGATCTGGAACAGAGCCTCCTCCCTCTCGTGAAAGACATTCCCAGGAGTCGGGAAGCCAAGGCAGGTTCCAGCTGCCCTTCCTGTGGTGGGTGGGTGGGTAGGGACACGATAGTCCTGTGCTGGGGGGTCTTGTGTTCTAGAAGTGGGGTGCACTAGTGGGAACAAGTTGAAAACAAGGGTGGCTGATGTCAGAGGATGGAGATGACAGGAGCTAGAACAGACAACAGCCAAGGGCCGGATGTAGGGAGGGGGCAGCTGGGAAACAGCTGTGCAGGGTGTCAGCCTCGTCCAGCAGGTGACCTGGGAGCAGAGGCTTGGAGAGGGGGAGGGAGCGACCCAGGAGGCTGAGGCAGGAGGATCACAAGTTCCAGGCAAGACATGTCTCAAAATAAAAAATAAAAAGGGCTGGGTGTGGCTCAGTGGTTGAGCACCCCTGGATCCAATCCCCAGATTAGAAGAAGGAGGGGGAGGAGGAGGAGGCGGCAGCGAGGGAGTGACCACACAAACCAAGAGGGGAAAGCATTCCAGACACAGGCAACGGCCAGCACCGAGCCCGGGCTGGAGGCCTGCTGGGAGAACAGTAGGGGACCCTGTGGCTGGGGTGGCGGGAACTAGGGGACAGGGGTGGGAACGAGCACTCACCCACCCGCCTCGGGCTTTCAGGGAGCCCTCTGCTTCTGTGTTGAGAATGGACCGCAGGTGGGGAGGTGGCCGGGAGGGGGGGGGGCTGGGACACCGTTCCTGGCACCTGGAGAAGTGGCGATGGTGCTGGGGCCGGGGCGTGCGTGGTGGTGGGCAGGAGGGTCTGCAGGACCCACCTGTGAGTTGGACGGAAACTGGGGGAGAGAGAAGAGTGGAGGAAGATGCCCACGTGTCTGGCCCAGGAATCGAGGAAAATGGAGCTTCCCCTGGCAGATGGGCAAGCACACGAGGGCCAAGGCCAGGCGTCCCTCTGAGGCCCGAGGAGTTTCGGCGTCTTTGGGACACCCCCTGTGCAGATGGGGTGTGGGCAGTGATCTGCAAGTCGAGGGTTTGGAAAAGGGTCCAGTTTCGAACAGGTCAGAGGCTCCTGAGCATCAGGCCCAGGAGGCCCCAGAGGCCCCGCTCCTGCCTTCCTGGCTAGTTAGTGTAGGTGCCCAGGAAGACAGGGCAGCTGTGGGCGGAAGTGGCCAGAGAGCCGTTTGGTCAGGTCTGCTCTTGTCCCCTGTGCAGCGGGAAGCGCTCTCGGAGTACCGGCCCATCCTCTGCGACACACACCAGCTGCAGCGCCGCTCCTCCTCTGTGGCTGACAAGAAGCTGGTCCTCATCCCCCTCATCTTCATCTGCCTCCGCGTCTGGAGCACTGTGCGTTTCGTCCTGACCCTCTGTGGCTCCCCGGCCGTGCGGATACCAGTGCTGGTCGTTCTGCATGTAGGTCTGCCCTCTCCACCCTGCTGCCCCTCCATGGCATGGCCAGATCCCCTGTCCCACAGAAGAGTCCCTGTGTCCCAGTTTTAGGGCTGCAGCCAAGGAGCTCCGTCTCCTTCCCTGCCCCGGGTGGGCAGCGGCCTAGGACAGGGAAGTGGGAGCTGAGCACCCAGGGCAGCCTCCCAGGGCAGGGAGGGCAGGAAAGGTCCTGGGTCCAGGCAGTTCCATGTGGTGGTCCTGCGACTGCCTGCAGACTGTGCTCAGGCCCCTTCTTTCCTCCCAACAGGGAATCGGCAACACCTTCCAGGGGGGAGCCAACTGCATCATGTTCGTGCTCTGCACCCGTGCCGTCCGCACGCGGCTCGTCTCCCTTTGCTGCTGCTGCTGCTGCTCCCAGCCCTCCACCCAGAGCCCAGCCCGCCCTCCGGGGGCTTCTGTGCCCTCCAAGACCAGAGACACTCAGGAACCCAGACAGACCCCAGAGGAGCCTCCCAGCACCTGAGCGTTAGCTTGTCCTCACACTGTGTCCCTGTCCGGGACAGGCAGCTTTGTGCATCCCACTGCAGGGACAGGGTGCATTTCTGCTGCACCTGAAGCCCCCGTGGGTGAAGCTCTTGACCTGGTGAGCGAGCAGCCACCAGCTCAGCCTTTCTACCTCCTGAGCCTCAGGCAGCACCTTCCCGGGCCTGTGTCCTGGCGCACCTGGGATTCATCTGGGTGAGCCCAGCATGAAACTCAGAGCCAGTGAGGCAGGACCCTGTCAGGTGCCTTGGAGCGGGGGCTCTCGGTGTTCTGAGGCCACATAGCACTGTTTACAGTTTGAGGGACCCAGAGGTGTGTCCCCTGCCCTGACATCATAGGGCAGATTCCTGGCTTGTCAGGTGTTGGGATCCCCTGAAGAGCCCAGCTTTTCTTGGATAACACTGCTGGTCGGCAGAGGGGCAGTTCCCTTTAAACAGGTCCCCTGAGGTCACCTGTGACTGCCACAAATGAGCACAGCCTAGCGCAGCCACTCAGGGACAGTTCCCTGGGTGCTTCCTGGATTCTCTCTTGTTTTGCAATACTGGGCTTGAACCCAGGGCCTTGATTGAACATGCTCCATAAGCACTCTACACTGAGCTACCTCCCAGGCCTTTTTATTTTGAGACAGAGACTCCCTAAGTTACCCAGGATGGCTGCAAACTTGTGATGATCCTCCTGCCTCAGCCTCTGAATAACTGGGAGTACAGGCCAGTGCCACCACATGGGCCCTGGGTTTCCTCTCTGTGGACTGTCCGCCCTTCATGTGGATTGTGTTTTAAGTTTTAGCACAGGCCAGATCCGGAGTCCTCCCCTTGCTGGTCAGTCACATAAACTACATGCCCCCTCCTCCAGTGCCAAGGCAGAGGCGTCCAGGGGAACCCTGAGGACCGCACACTCTTTCCTGGTATTTTCACCTACTGCCCTCGTTCTTAGGGTGGGTAGGGAGAGGGCCTGGTTTGCTCACATCCTAGCCTGCGTTTTTGGAGGAAAGATGCTCAGAGAGTAGATGACCCACATGCTGTTTCCTCCTTGAAGGTGAAGGCTTTCAGATTCAGCCTCAGCTAGGGGCAGAGCTCAGAGGTAGAGTGTGTGCTGGGCATGGACAAGGATGGCCATTTGGTCCCTGGCACCAAAAAAAAAAAAAAAAAGATTGAGGCTTTTTGGTGGTTGGTTGGGGGAAGTGGCAGCCTGAGGCCTGGGGAATCATTTACATTTAAAAGAAAAAGGATTCTAAGAAGCATCTATAGCTCTGTAGTCCATAGCTCCTACACCAATACTTCCTCTCATTCCAGAAAGCGATCTCTGCAAGTCACCACAACTGAGAACCTCAGGAAGTAATACATGTGACCTTAGAGGCCGGCAAGGACACCCCCAGCTTTACCCATAAGTGACTTCCCTTGGGTCCTGCCAGAATTCTGCAAAACTGAAATGATTTCCAGACCCAGTAAAATGGCTCTGGATTAAAACCAAAACCATGCTGTGCTATCTGTTTGTTTGACTTTCAAAAGCAAAATCTGTATCAGGAAAGGAGTAGTCATTTTGAGGATTGAGTCTAAAATGCTCATTTTGGTTTTCTTTGAAAACAGTTCTTTATGAAAGTTAGCAAGAGGGGGGAATCCCCTTAGGATTCAACGAAAGCTCTGGGCTACCGTATGGAAGGTTCCCTACCAGTAGGACATCTCCTGACAGAAACAGCCTCCCCTAAAGAGGTCACAGCAAACCTCCGGGCACACAGCTGGTGAAGACCTTTTAGCATCTAGAATGGGACAGAAATTCAGGGATTTGTTTGCTACAAACAAGAAAATGATCCACAGTTGAGTAAGAGTCCTGGCCCCAGAGCAAAGACATTAGGATAAACTGTTCAGCAGGGAGCTCCAGACAGTGCCCAGAGGCGAGGACCTGGGTCTCCCCAGCTTGGCTGTGCTCAGAAAAGGCCTATAGAGGGAGTTGGGGACTCCAAGAACACCTGCTTTAGGTGCTAGGGCTCATTCAAGTTCTCATTTCATTTTTTGGTGCCATTTTGGTGTCTGGATTGTCTGTTTTTGTAAAAAACCTCCAAACATTTACACCTTGTGTTATTTCCAATTCTGCTTTCTCTGCTGCCCACCTTGGTGCTGCAGATGAACGGTTACCAGGAGTGGCAGTGGTCCGGTGGGCAGGGGAGGGGCTTGTCCACACGCCTTAGGTGCCTTAGCCTTGGCCTCTGGCCCTCCCATCTCACAGAATGCCTTGCCTCTTGCTTAGAGCCAGGGACAGTCAGTCCAGCTGGGTGGGCAGAGTTCAGAACCAAAGGGGAACGGGAGGGAGTTTGCACCCCCACAGCAGGAGGGGCCATCGCTTCTGATCAGAGCCTGACTAGGCTGGCTTCACCCCTTTGACACTTTGCTGGACCCCAGTGGGTTCCGTTACGGTCATTAGTGTTTATCTGCCCCAGCTTAAGGTCATTGCGGCCCCTGACTGTATCCCCTGCCCCCCCCCCCCCCGTCCTTTTGCACAGCTGAATCTTGGTCTTGTAATCAGGTTGACCAGCCACTTCCTGCCTCTGTGCTTCTGAGAGTTGGATTTTTTTTTTTTAAAGTTGGTTGGTTTGTTCAGTTTTGTTTTTTAATAAAGATTATTCTTTAGCCCAGGCTGAGGGTACGAACAGAACTCTTCACCTGTCTACAATGAGAAAACCTGTTTTTACAGACTTCCTGTTGTGGCATAAGAGAGTGTGAGTTTTTGCACATGCAACATTGTACCGTAAACCCCTGACTGTCTGTGAAAGCCAAAGTCTTGCTATTTTAAATTAAATAAATAAATTATTTTTCTTCTGCAGTTGGGTAAAGGGACTGACCACTGATGTGGGAGGGGTGGGCCTGGAGGCTCAGACTGGCCTACTTCGGGCAGCCTTCCTCTCTGCTGAAACCTGGAGAGACATCTCTGCCCTTCTGTGTTGGCAAATGTCCCATAAGGTGCCACCCCATAGGGATAGCCAGTTTCTGAGTTTACTTGGTGAAGATCATGGAGGAAGAAAGTGGGGCGTATTCAAATACAGATTCCTGGGCCCTGTCCACAATGAGGGTCAACAGGTCCAGGTACTTGGCACCCATGACTTGGGCCTAAACTTGCAGGAGGGAGACACTCCAGGGCTGAGCTGCAGGCCCAGTTGCCCATCATGTCTCACTTTTTGATGGTACCTGGTGAATCACTGCATCTGCCTTGCAGGCTTCCTGATAGGGATGTGTGGGACTCTGGGAGCTCTTCTCTGAAAGGCTGTGCTCTGAAGGCATTTCAAAACCAGGGAGAGGAGCCAGCGGCTTTGCTTGCACAACCCAAGTGGCCTGCTTTAGGCTTTTTTTTTTGAGACAGGCTCTTGCTGAGATGCTGAGGCTGGCTTTGAACTTGTGATCCTCCTGCCTCAGCCTCCCAAGCCACCCCTGGCCTAGGCACATATTAATCATTGCATCTTAGAACGTTGCCCTCCTATATCTCTCAAGCTTTGTTTCTTCATTCTTCTTTTTGGATTTTGTGAAGTCAAAACAACATTAGCCTCTGGAAATGATACCTTTTAACACTAATTTTGTTATTTAGGTGCAACGTGCAAATTTAAGGAATACTAAATTGCAGTTTCTTCTTTGGGGTAACCCTTTGCAGTCTTTTAGCGATTCTGTCTGGCTTTTGTATCTCTAAACTCCATGCCATGCGCTTACCTGGGAGAAAAATGGAAGAAGCCACTCCCAGCCTATCTCTAGGGATCCACCTTGGCATGACTACAGCCATCTTGGTCATAAGTGCCAACTCACCCACCAGGTGACCTTGGCATGCATTCCAAACCCTGTAGGATAAACAAAGTTGTTAAGATAGTCACCGTGCCAGCCATGGATGGCCAGAGTGTTTAGCTGACATGTTTGACAAATTCATGTTTTTTTGAGAAAGCCCAGGTACGTTCTGGCTGGCTGCAGCCCCTGTCCTCTGGCCAGCGTCCTTTGCAGGCTCTCAGAGTGGGATGGGACAAGAATGGAATGTCAGTCCTTTTCTCTTTTGGTGCTGGGGATGAAACCAGGGCCCCATGCACTCTAAGCATGAGCCCTACCACTCAGCGGCCTTCCTAGCCCTAGCCATGGTTCTGAATGTCAAGATCGGTGGTTTGGGGGCTGGGGGGTGTATCTCGGTGTAGAGTGGTTGCCTAGGCGTGCTCAAGGCACCCTCAAGAAAAAGGTGGGCCTTTCAGAGTGTGGGATGGGGCAAGGATCATGACAGAACTGTTTCAAATGCTGGGCACAGTCGTCACCCAAGGAGGGTCCGAGGAGGTCCCTGAAAGGGGAACCTCAACTCAGGACCAGTGGGGTTCTTGAAAAATGTCACAGGAGGGAATATTTAAGGATACATCCGAAAGGGGCGGCAAGCAGAGGTTTGCTTAGGAGGGAAGGATTCCGTGTTCAGGGAGGAAGGTGGGCTGTCCCAACAGTGAGAGCAGAAAGGCCTTGGTCCTAATATTTATGGGGCAGCAGCCAGGGGCTAGAGGTGGCGTTAGGGTGGGGTGACACAATTTCACTCCCGTCTTCAGGGCCCAGCCTGCACCCTCATGAGCTGTTTCTTGGGTACTTCCAACAAATCATGGGCGCTTCTCTTTTAAGACTTGTGTAACTTTTTTCTCTGAATCTCCAAATTCCTCTCTCTCAGCCCGCTGAGGACTGGAGGGAGAGCCCTGAGAGGGTTTGGGGTGTAAACTGTCTTTGGATGCTTTGAGGCACCTTTCCAGGACATTCCAGAGGGAACCAGAAAGTGACTTGCAGCGTCCCTGTCCCTGGGCAGCTCTCCTGGGAGTGGTGAGGTGAGGGGGCCACAGGCAGCCACATTTAGGTACAAAGCCAAGTGGGTGGTTTCAATTCCCTGAGGAAAAGAGAAGCAGATGAGTCCCCACTACCAGGTCTGTGAGCCACGGGGCTCTGGGAAGGAAGCCTGGGTTCCAACCACAGCTCCGCCACTTATGACTGGATCACTCTGGGCAGATGATGTGGCCCCTCAGCCTGGGTTTCACCTAACCTGGGGGTGACAGGGAGACTGACCTGAGGCCGCTGCTTCACCGATGACTGGGCAAAGAGCTCCATGACCCAGGATATCACCACCTCGAACTCGCCTGCTTCTGGGCCTCAGCAAGGCCTCAGTGGCCCCCAGTGGCCCCCAGGGGCCTTGGGAGGGGGGACTTAATTGATGGGTGCCTCCGTTTACACAAGGATTTCTGGCAATTCCTCAAAACCAGGGAAGCAGCCCCTCTCTCCCTTGGACCCCTCCCATAGCTCCTCTCCCTGGCAGACGGCCGAGCCCTGGTCTTGCCTGGGCCCGTTGCATGAGGGTGCAGAGGCGAAGGGAAATTCCAGGGTTTGCTGGGAAAAAAAACAGCAAAAAAATTAACTGGAGAATTAACAAGTTATTACACTGAAGAAGGGTGTCATAACTCTAAGCTTATATACCTTTTTTTTTCTATAGGAAAGGGAAGAATTTCTATTTGGAGACAGAAATTATCTTGTAAAAAGATTATTATTATTATTATTATTATTATTATTATTGGTAGATGGACACAATACCTTTATTTTTTTTAAATTTATTTTTATGTGGTGCCGAGGATCAAACCCAGTGCCTCACAGGTACTAGGCAAGTGCTCTACCACTGAGCCACAAACCCAGTCCCTAAAAAGGTCATCTTTAGGGTACGTCCAGGTGTGGTTACATTCTTTAGTCCCCTTTTGTTAAGTTGTGTTTTTCAGGGCTGGGGATGGAACCCCGGAGCCTCAAACATGCCAGGCAAGCACCCTGCCACTGAGCCGTACCCCTAGGCTTTCAGTCTTTTAAGAGATGGGATCTTGCAACCTTTCCCAGGATGGTCTTAAACTCCTGAGCTGAAGTGACTCTGGCTTCAGCCCTCTGAGCACACGGGAGTCCAGCCACATGCCTCCAGCCATGCGCCAAGCCTCCACGAATAGATCATGAGATCATAGGGTGGGGGTGGAGGGCAGTGTGTTTTCTTACTCGGGTCTGGGTTTAATGCAGATAAAGGTGTATCAGGGAGAGCCATCGCCTGCCCCTTCCCACTCCTCTGTCACCTTATCAGCCACCATCCTAGGAGGGTCAGAGGGTCTGCTCCAAGTGCAGCCTGAAGTTGGCCACCAGAGAGGAGCAGTGCCGGAGACTCCTGGGGGTAAGTCTGCCCTGGCTGGGCACAGACCTGGGAGTCCTCGGAGCAGGTGTCCCGGGAGGGGTCACTGAGGGGCCACATTCAGGGAAGGCAGGGAGCAGTGCTTCTCCGACTTTAGCGTCCACAGGTCTGAGGTGGAGCTGGAGAGTCTGCTGTTTTTCGGCAGAGCCGGGGATGGAACCCGGGCTGCTGTCAGAACCCAGCATTCCTCCCGGTGAGGTGGTGCTGCCCTGCACAGACCAGGAGGGGCCTCAGGATGTGGGCGGATGCTCATGTGGTTCAACTGCGGGAGGGTGGGGATGGGGGCTGCCGGCTTCCACAACAAGATCCCAGGTGGGAAATGGAGAAATAAGGATAGGTAGGAGGAGGCGACAGGGAGGGAAAGACGACTGGAACTTTACATCTAAAACCCCACCAACGCCCTCCTCACCTTCACTCCTGGCCTGAATTCTTAAAGGGTCCAATAAATTTGAGAGGACCGTAAATCCAGTTAATTAGTACCTGTGGGCTTTGCGAGTTTACAGGACGCGTTTTTTTAGACTGATGTGAAGAAACCCAGAGAGAGAGCTTGTGAGACACCCTGACATGGTCCAAGCTCTTCACATTATCAACCAGGTAACACCAACCTGATGATTCTGGAAAAGAAACAGACCACCATGACCTCCTCTGGCTCCACGATCAAAGATCCTCAGGCTGATGCCACTCCTTATGCTTCTCACAGACTCCATTTACAAGGTTTCCTCGAAAAGAAACCCTGGAGACCAACGGTTCCCCACCCTCCAGCCTGCCCTCCCTCTCCCCTCAAGGGCATCCATGTGGCTTACCAAACCCATCTGCCTTCCTAAATAAGTCTCCGCTTGAGCCTCTTTTGATGCACCCTGAGATTCCTTTCTGTGGTGTAAGAACCAGCCAGGACCAGGCATGGTAGCACATGCCCAGAATCCCAGTGTCTTAGAGGCTGAAATAAGAGGATCACCAAGTTTGCAGCCAGCCTCAGCAACTTAGTGAAGCCCTGAGCAGTCTAGTAAGACCCTGTATCAAAATAAAAAATAAAAAAAAGGGCTAGGGATGTGGCTCAGAGTAAAGTGCCCAGGTTGAATCCCCAGTACCAAAAAAACAAAAAAAACCTGCCAGGGCTGCATTTAGGTGCCCTTCTCCCTTCTGAGGACTCCTCATCCAGTGACAGCCCCAGCTCCTGAAGTGTGCTGGGGCCCAGGGGCTGGGGAGCTGACTTGTTGGGTTTGCCCATGTGTGGGGTGCTCCCACCATGGCCCATTTCAGGATTTCAAGCTGCTATAGAGGAAATGTGTGCCCAGAGGAGCAGAGTGTCCTGGAGGGTCCTGCTCTGCTTCTCGGGCTCCGCCCCACACTGCCTTCCAGCCTTCATCCCGAGCATCGTAGGTAAGAATGTCCTTGTGAAATCATTCTTTCTAGTTTTATTTTTTCCATTATGGAGGATTGAGTCCAGGTGCTCGGCCACTGCTACATCACCGTCCTTCTCAGTTTTATTTTGAGATAGGGTCTTGCTAAGTTGCCCAGCCTGGCCTTGAACTTGCTGTTCTCCTGCCTCATCCTCCAAGTCACTGAGATGACAAGCATAGGCCACCAGGCCCGGCATTGCGAAATGATTCTTATCCGTA